GTTAAGAATTAACATTTCTGATCCTCTGCAGTAAAATCAAAATACCTGAGTTGTTATCATTCCTGTTCAGTAACTGTAACACAGGGAAAAGAACCTCCTAAATCTCTGTGAACTGTATATGTTTAATTCTTAAGAGATTTTCACTTCCAAGTGTTTTTAAATCCAGATACTCTCTACAGTGGCCTAAAAGTGTCCCTTTATCCATGCTGGACTCAGTGACTTTAGAGCTGATGGGATGTGGTGGCTGCTGATAACTGTGGCCTGTTTTATGTTAGGTGTCTAATAAAAACAGAATAACATTAAATCTCTATTTAAGACTTACAAATTGTGTTAGGCATTTGTTAAAAGGCATTTTTATGTGACTGGAGAACAGCAAGTTGGTTCAACCAACTGACATCTCATATCTTGGGTTTTCCTTTGGAACTGGAGCCAGCCTAACTCTTTGCACATCTTGGCACTGATATGTGGCACCTCACCACTTCTCTTTTGTGGGTTGCTTGGCTCCTCTGAAGGTAAGTGGTGTAGCAATGGCTGGTTTCCAGTGGGTGCACAAACTGCTTATCAAGACTTTACATTTGAACAAAAGTTGGAAGTGCAAAGCTGAAAAGGCTCAGGAGGAACCTTTGATGGGATATGACTGTCTCAATGTCTAGGCAGAGTCTTCCATACTAAAGTCCATGAGTTTTCCCCTACCCACCACTTGGAGAACAGTCACAACATTTTAATATCTTTTAAAGATCCATTTTTTATCATAACCATCTTCCTGTTTAGGAAAATAATACTGTTTAGAAAATTAATAATCTTTTTTTCCCCAGAAGTTTTTCTCGTTCCTTCAGCTCTCCTCTGGATGCTCTGATTTGTTTACATACTTTATGAATAATGGAATTCAAAACTGAATTCTCTGCTCTGTGATACATTTATCTTCCAGAGCCAGTGGAAGTACTGTGGGCATTTAGAGAAACCCCACCCTGTCAAATTATCTGATATATTGCTCTTCAAACAGGAGCTGCTACATTCCATGTTGGAATTTTCAGTGTTTGGTCTATGTGCATTTCTGAGATTCAACAAAATGCTTCTTCAGAAGGATTAGAGCTGTCTCTAGTCAGATTCTGTAGAATCTGCCTCAGGAGGCTCTGGTCTTGTTTGCTTTGGTTTCATTGCCCTCTGAGATGAGCCTCTTTACTGCACAGTTACTTGAAATCTTCTTTGCTTTTGTATTTGATGTCTTTATAAAGTCAGAGCCAGGCTTGTCTAATAAAGCAATATAACATTTACTGCCTAGTAATTGCATTCACATGACCCCAAATCTGTTGCCTCAGTCCTTGTCACACTTGAAATTCTTTCCCTCTTAGCAAGTCAGGGTGCCTTATCTTGCTGACTGCTGTGATTCTATTCACTGTTTTCACTGATGACTCATGATAAAGGACAATGAGGTGCATGTTCTTATCCCTGAGTGTACAAGATAGAAAGGATTGCAAGTGCTTGGGAGGAAAGGATTAAAATTCAGAACATGGAAGGAATCCAAAATTGGGACAATGGAAGTAAGTCATTTAGAGGGGATAGGTTATGACTGTTGCTTTTGCCTGAACATGTTGAATGTTTTTTGTCTTTCAGGAAATTGAAAATCAAATAGACAGAATATGTGAGATGGGAGAGGTGATGAGAAAAGCTGTTCAAGTGGATGATGATCAGTTCTTTAAAGTTCAGGAGAAACTGGCTCAGCTGGAGGTAAGAGCAGATCCATCTGTTGAGGATAAATCGAGCTTTGGGGATCTAGAGACTTACTCTGGATTTTCTGTTTGTGTCAAGGATTCATAATAATCAAAAATTTGGGAGTGGGGTCAGGAAACAGAATATGATCTGTTTGTTTTCAAGTCTTGATGATCCTTATATGTTTAGATTTATATATGTGAAGCCAGAAGCAAAAGATACACTTTAAATGACGTGGTTCCCCTTGTGCCAGCACCATATTAATGCTTGTATTACAAAGTGTGTTTTATCTATCTGTGAAGGAGTGGGGCTACTGAAAGTTTGTCATCCTTTACTTGTGAATTAGCTCGTTTCTATTTCAGCAAAAATATTGATTTTGCAGCTTGAAAACAAAGAGCTGCGTGAACTGTTGTCAATCAGCAAAGAATCTTTCGAGGTGGAGAGAGAAGATCTGCCGGACTGTGAAGCGTAGGCCACAAAAAACCTCACCTCCAAACCTCCAGGGACTGTTATGAAACTGCCTGACAAGGATTTGTTCTTTCAGGTTGTTTCCTTGTATATCTGTTTTATCTTTCAAGTGTGTGGGCTGTTTTTCTCTGCGCTTTCCTGAAGTGTTGATGGCAGAGGCTTGTTGCTCTGTCTTAGGATGCTTAACACTGAAGTATTTGATGTGTCCTCCCCTGTGATCGTTCATTTCCTCCCCCTTTGTCATTTTTTTATGAGCTTTAGGTAATTTAATTCCAGCTGTGCAGTTGGCTTTTAGATCCACCTCATCTGTAGCTCGAGAACATAATGCAGGTTGTGATTATTGTGCTTGATAGAGGGAATAAGAGATTATCCAAAACCCACGTTGTAAATGGCAGGGGCCTGGTTTGCTCTGGCTGCACGGAGCAGTTTTGCTTTGCAGAGTGACCCCTCAGGGTTTGGATGGGTTGACTTTGCTGCCTGGACTGGCTTTGTTACCTGGGTTGACTCTGTTACCTGGACACTTAGGAGCAGGTAAGAGAACAGCAGGTGCCAGCAGGGCACTTGAAGCAGTCACTCCTATTCAGAGCAAACTTTACCTTGTTTTAGGGGTGACAATCAGTGGAGAACCCTTCCTGACACAAACCTGGGCGGTTTTGAAGGACTCTGCATATTTGCCTGTTCTTTTTTTCAGTGGATAGACCTGTCCCAGCCTTACCAGTGCTCCCAGGGGTGTGGGTGCTGGCCAGCCCTGGGCTGTTGGTGTGCTCAGACCCTGCCCAGAGCTCAGCACCTTCAGATCAAAGCTCTTTGTCCTCCCACCACTTTGGACTCAGGAAGAGTGAGCTCAGGTCTGCCTCAAAAATAACCAAAACCGACCACACACACACAGATTTTTAATGTCACTTCACAGGTGAGTGTAGTGACAGGTGTTCCATAGTTACTGCACTGAGTGAAATTAGAGTTGCAGCGTTGTAGGAATTTATCAACATGGTGATATTTTTATTGACACTTTTATATAAAGATCTGTCTGACCTGTGATCAAAGAAAAATCCCCCAAGAACAATAAACATCTAATTTCCAATATTAGTTTAAATTTTTATGCCACTTTTTCCCAAGCAAGACTTTCGACAGATGCAGAAGGCAACTTGTTCCTGTGCTTGTTAAGAGACATTTCCTTGTGAACATCTGGAATATCCAGCAAGACTGGTAGATATAAGGGATTTCTGTACAGGAGTGTTCTTGCATACAATCCTTTTCTATTAGGAATTGTTTAGGAGGGAATAAAAAAACTCAGTGAGAAGTAATTTTCTCAAGTGTGTTCTGTTTGTGAGTCCTGGGGGGAATTCCATGTGTTCTGCATGTTCCCAAGCCTTTTTCACTCCCTCCAGTTTTTACCTTGCCTGAGTGAAATATTATAATAACTGAAATGTTGCATTTTATCTCTTTTAAATTAACGTCATCCTAAATGCCTGTGATGCGTTTTTATCTATGCTGTCCCAGGGTAGATTTAACATCCCTCCAATTTGGTCATTGCTGTGCATTTAGAAAAGCCAGAAACTGAAAGGCAATTGCTTTGAGTGAGTTTATTGTTGATTAGTAGTGGGCCAGAATTGGCAAGGGAAGTTTAAATATGTGCATAGAGTCGTGGAACATCCTGAGCTGGAAGACACCCACAAAGATCATCCAGTCCAACTGCTGGCCCTGCACTGGACCCCCCAAAATACCACCCTGTCCCTCAGAGCATTGTCCAAACACTCCTTGAGCTCTGGCAGCCTTGGGGCTGTGCCCTTTGCCCTGGGAGTCTGTTCAGTGCCCGACCACTCTGGGGAAGAACCTTTCCCCAGTGTCCAGCCTGAACCTCCCGTGACACAGCTGCATGTCCCATTCACTCCTGTCCCATTCTGGATCTGTAAAGGAGGAGGCTGTGGCTGTAAATGCCCAGTCGTACACAGTTCCTGAGCGCTGCTGGGCATTTTCAGAATTGGCTTCACTGTTGGAAACTGGACCAGAGCTCCAGGACTGGAAATGCTCTGCCGGTGGTCGGGAGTCCAGACACAAAATGTCACCCCCTGATCCTTCAGCTCAGTGGGGGTTTCAACAAGGGCAATGCTCGGAGCCTGCCCTGACCCTGAGCCGAGCTCCTTCCCCCTCAGCCGGGGTTTTCTCTCCCCCCTCAGCCTGGGCTCCCTCTCTCTTCCCCTCAGTCGAGCCCTCGTCCTCTGCCCCCAGCCGGGGCTCGCTCTTCTCCCCTCAGCCGGGCTTTCCTCTCTCCCCTCAATCAAACCAAGTGCTATTTAGTTTCTGGGTTCCTTCTGGCTGCACGGCAACGACCCAGTTTGGAGGAATGTTCACCTGCACTGGGACAGTGAATATGAAAACGCCTCACAGACATTTCAGACGACATTATTTAAAAGAGACAAAATACAACATTTTCAGTCGCTATAACAAGTTGTCCTTCTCCCTTCAGTGTCCCCCACAGACTGAGCTCCATCTCTCCCCTTCAGCTGAGCACTCGTTCTCTCCCCTCAACCGGAGCTCTCCTCCCCTCAGCCGGGATTTTCTCTCTCCCCTCAGTCAAACAACTTCTATTTAGTTTCTGGGTTTTTTTCCGAATGCACGCAAACGACCCAGTTGGAGGGACGTTAACCCGCACTGGGACAGCGAAGATTAAAACGCCTCACAGGCATTTCGGACGCCGTTAATTCGAAAGAGATAAAACTGTAACAGGTTCTTCTCCCCCTTCCCCCGCACCGCCCTCAGCCCCTCTCCCTCCCCGCGGCCGCCAGGGGGCGCTGCCACCCCCCCGAAGCCTTCAGCGCGCGGCAGGCCCGCGCACTCCGGTGCGCAATGCGCGGCCCCGCCCCCTTCGTCCCCCTCCCCCCGCTGGCGGCGCTCTCGCGAGAGCGCCGCGGTCTCAGTCCCTACGTGCCGGGCCGTGCTGCTCATGGCGCGCCCCTGGAGCGGGGCGCTGAGCTGTTGGGGTGAGTGGCGGGCCCGGGGGGCTCGCGCGACCCCCTCACGCACGCGGGGGGGGTGCGCTCCGCCCAGCGCGCCGCCCGCGCACCTCCCGCGCACCGGGCACGCGCCCGGAGCGTGTGTGTGTGTGTGGTGGTGGTTGATGGGGGGTGTGTGGGGGTGCGCTACTAGGCGGCGGTGCGGGGGCGGCGGCGGCGGCCGCGCCGGGACTCGCCGCGTCGCGGGCCGCAGGCGGCTTAGCGGGCGGGGCGTGCTCGTCGGGGGCTCCGGGCCGCGGCGGAGCGGCGGCCGTGGCGGGCGGACGGGGCGGGCGGCGGCTCCCGGGTGCCGCGCGCTACCGGCGGCCCCGCCCGGGCGCAGAGGCGGCGGCCGGCGGCCCTTTGTGTGCGTGGGAGCGGCGCCATCGCCCCCCTTTGTGTGCATCGCCCCCCGGCCGCAACGCCCGCAGCGGCCCCGCCGCTGGCCGTGTCACCGGCCCCGGCCCGCACCGCGCTAACGCGGGCCCCGCTGGCGCCGCGGCCCCGGCGCCCGCCCCTCGGCGGCGGCACGCCCCTCGCTCCGCCGCCTCCATCTGGTGGCAGCGGACATTGAGCGGCGACCCGCCGGGGCGCCGGACCGGGCCCGGGGCGGCTCCGGAGGCTCCGGGCCGCTTCTCCGGCGCCCTCTCCGCCCCCGCATCGGGACCCGGCGCGGGGCTCTGCCCCGGGCCGCGCACACCCTCTAAAAGCCCCGATTTTTGTTTTAACCCCGATTTTTGTTTTAACCACTTCGATTTTTTTTTTTTTAAATTACAGATGTCCTTGGCAGTTCTTTAACTCTTTTCCTCCCCTCCCTCCCCCATATATGTATTTTTCGGACTTGGCTGCCCTGGCGGTGGCTGGACTCGTAGCTGTCACGTGCTGGTTGGGGTGCCAGCGTTCAGTGCTGCCTTCCAGTATCCCCCCGGAAAGATGTGGAGTGGCCTGATCTCCGAGTGTCTGATGGCTGTGTTGTGCGTGCACTCTGAGAATACAAAGTTTTGCCTTCATTAAATTGTATCTTAATCGCGTAAGAGAGGGCTGTTTCTAGAAGCACATGTCCCGATCCATAGAATGCAGGTTCTTGCAGTTGCCTGTTTTTGTGAAGAAAATGGGAAGCAGAACAATGCTGTCATCGGGCAGGTTCCATGTGGGGCTCTATAGGTGCTTTCTGGCTGAACAGCTTCATGTGACTTTACTGTCATTTAGCAGAGTCTGCACATGAAAGGCCTTAAGAACAGGGCTCAGCTCTTCCCTGTCTTTGCATTAAACCTTTCAGCTGTAAATACACAAATGCAGGAGGCAGCAAGACTTGGGGGCTGGGCAGCTGCTCAGGGTGTTTACCATTTGGAGGAGTATTTATAGTAGCTGAATTAAAAGTAAAGAATTTGAGGTTGATGAGCACAGTGAGATATTTTTTCTTTTTGCTCGAGTTATGCTTGCTTGGTAAGCTCTTTTTTTAAAAGAACTTCAGTGTAGTAAACCCATCTTATTATCAAACTGAATTGGCTTTTAATGGAAAGATTTATGCCTTACTCGATTATTGATAAAATTATCTGTAGTCATATTTGATCAGAAGAGGACTTTTGATTATTATGTGAAAATATGGTATATTCTATGCCCAGAAAAAATGATAAATATAATGTGATACAAGTTACAGCTTTAGGAGAACTCTAATCATGTTGGGCTATTAAATGAGAGAAGTACATGAGTAAGAAGATTCCAAGTGCTCAGTTCCTGGGATGCAGTGTGTGTCTGCTTCATTTCTCCTGAACTTGGCCAAGGGGATGCTCATTTGAGGGCTGAAATGCTGCCCAAAAATAACACTGTCCTGCAAGAGATTGTGGCAACAGTTGCCTGGATGTAATGCTGAGGTGTGGGGGAAGCCTGGTGATACTGTTATTATTGCAATAACTTCCTGTCTTCTTGTTGATAATATTTGATAATTGAATCTTTCACTGCAAACCTCTCACACCAGGTACTGGTTTGCACAGCCCTCACCCAGTTTCTTTATTCTCTTTCGTGCAATGGTCTGACAGGAAAACTCATTTCAGCTGGAAGTTTTCAGAGTGGTGGCTGAAGGAGATGCTTCTGCCCAGGGAGATCCCTGAAATCCAAACTTGTGTGAAAGTGGGGATGAGTTTGCACACATTTGGGGTTTGGAGCTCTTGCAGTAGGTGGCTGCAGGCTGCGTTTTCACTGGGGTGAGGGTTCAAGTTTCCCTGAATTCAGTTTGAGGCACTTAAGTTGCCTCTTTCAAGTTCACTGAAGGGGGTTCAAAGCTCAGTGTCAATTGTGAAATTCACTTTCCTGCTACAGTAGAGAAATAGGCTTTGTCCATATTTTTTTCTCTTTTGGTGTGGGACTTGTGGAACAACTTGGGGGAGAGTTGTGTTGATGCTTCATACCTTTGGATTACTGCAGAATATGCCAGTGGATCCATGGAGTCACAGCTGTGTTGCTTCTTAGTAGCTTTTGTCCACAAAAAGATCCTCCTTTTTTTTAATCTATTTACTGAATAAGCAACAAACTCAAAACTTGTTTTGATTTCTTCTCAAGAAAAGCTTCTGTTTCCATCAGGTTTTGTGTTGTGTGGTAGGTGGCAGTTTGCTGGAACTGCTTTTCTCATGAAAACACAAAGTGGGACTGGAAAACTTTAGGAGGGAATTAATTACTAACTAGTTATTGTTGCAGAAAGCTTTCTCTGTGGTGTTATCTGCCCAAATATCATGTATATGCAATCAACATTTTGCAAAAACTTTTACAAGCCTAGAGAATGGCTCTGCAGTTATTTTACATGCAGCATCTGGACATATAATTGAGAAATTTGTTAATTTTTGTACAATTCTAAGTGTGCTTCAGGTATTGCTAATCCTTAACTTACCTCTTGGAACAGAAATGTCAGGAAATTCTAATTCCCATGCATGCATACACCCTGTTGCTACTCTGAGGACCTGTGCAAGCACTTGTTAAATTATGTTATAATTTAATTAGTAAGCACACATATAAAATTATTGATAGGACTAATGAGTTAAATATTAATGATAAGTTGGCATGTTAAATGGTACAGCCCTGGACTTTTCCTGAAATGTCTGTGTCTGAAGGGTTTAAAATTGGAAGTACCAATGTCACTGCTTGGAGGTAGTTTTTTGGAAAAGAAAACTGGAAATGGCAATGCCAAATATGTCCCTAAAACAGCCTTTCCCAAACTTACAGACCTAAGGTAGAGGAAATGCACCTGTTTGTAGGAACACTTAGGATTGATTTATAAGGGTTGGAACTAGATGGTCTTTAAGGTCCCTTCCAAACCA